GAGGAGCGGGGCTGGCTCCACACCGGCGGTGCTGGTTGCTGCGGGGCAGCCAAGGCCTTTTCTGCGGGGGGCCACAAGGAGTTGGGAGGGGACACAGGCCGGACAGCTGACCCCAGCTGACCAAAGGGATGTTCCATGCCGTGTGATGTCACGCTCAGCATACAAAGCTGGGGGAAGAAGGAGGAAGAGGAGGGTGGTTGGAGTGACGGCATTTTGTCTTCCCAAGTAACCGTCAGCTGTGATGGAGCCCGGCTTTCCTGGAGATGGCTGAACACCCACCCACCGGTGGGAAGCAGTGAATGGATTCCTTGTTTTGCTTTGCTTCCATGCGTGGCTTTTACCCTACATATTAAACTGTCTTTATCTCAACCCACGAGTTTTTTTTTCTCACTTTTACCCTTCCAATTCTCTCTCCCATCCCAGTGGTGGGGGGAGCGAGCGAGCAACTGCAGGGTCCTAGCTGCCAGCTGGGGGTTAAACCATGACATTCTCTTAATTAGCCCAGGCTATCACACTTGGCACCCCTGCCATCTTTAACCAGGGCTGGGACCAGCTAGAGGTCCAAAGCCCCTTTAGTACCAGAAATTAGCACTTTGCCATGTAATAGGCGCTCATGCAACTGCTCCTCCTGGGTGCTCAGGTGAAACAACATGCTGCCCTGTCTCCAGACTCTTCAAGTCCTTCGCTGGATCATGGCTTCCTCAGCTTGCAGGGAGAGACCCGCCCCACTGATCATAGAATGGTTTAGGTTGGAAGGGACCTTGAAGATCATCTAGTTCCAATCCCCCTGCCATCCGCAGGGATACCTGCCACTAGACCAGGTTGCTGAAAGCCCCATCCAGCCTGGCCTTCAACACGTCCAGGGATGGGGCTTCCACAACTTCTCTGTGTACCCCAGTGTCTCACCACCCTCAAAGTGAAAAATTTCTTCCTAATGTCTAACCTAAATCTACCTTCTTCCAGTCTGAAGCCATTCCCCCTTGTCCTATCAATGACATTTGCTTCCACTTTGGCTCTGTAATACCCCACCAGCGATCCACCAAAATTAAAGGTTTAGCAAAACCTTTTTGTTACCAATCTCTAAATTTTATCCAAGGAAAAGAAACCAATTCACGGAGTCAACAGTGAGAGGGAGTTGCAGGAAGTTGTGAGGGACTGGTGTCTTCACAGGAGGTGCTGCTTTTTGCCCTCCCAAATGTCAGTGTCCTATACTAGCTAACTCATTAAATCAGAGAAAATGGATAAAACGTCAGCTGGACTATGCTGGAAGGTAGTCTCTTACTAACATGCAGAAATCACTGCTGTTTCCATCACTGAAATCTTAGTTCAAGGGATAACTGCAAATTACATGGATGGGAAGCTGAGGTTAGGGGAAGAAGGATTTCTCGTGGTAAAGCTCAAGGACTTGGCAAGCGAACTTCAGCTTGGCAGATGGGATGGCTACATTATTTCCTCCACATGTCACTAGACAGCACCACTGTAGCATTTTCATTATTTTATCTTGATCCTTCTGTGGTTCTGGCATGAAAGACAAATATCTATCAAAATATTACTACCTCTTACGCCCCCTGTTCATGTCACCTTTTTGCTGCATTTTGTCTTAATGTAGACACGAACATACCAAGGCAAAAGCTGTATATTTATAGCTATTCCTTGTGTTGCCCTGTAGCACAGGCATCCTAGTCCTACCTGGGTTCTAGAGAATTGCCAGTCTTGCATATTTGTATGCTGGTCTTTTTTGCTGGCCTGTTATTACTTGCTTTGCTGGTCACTTTCTCTTACAGTGTTCAAATCCTTCTTGTCCTCCCACACACAAGTTGGCTGCACTTTCACTGTCAGTCTTCCTCCGGATTCTGATGGAAGTTTTGTGTAACTGGATGCTGTTCCCAAAGGACAGGCAGAGGGGAGTGTTATGCAGCGAAGAGGAGGAAAGCGAGGTTACTTTCCAGTGACTGTGGTCCCTGGATATGGGGTTTTTTTTGCCAATATATACATTTACAGTGTGGAGGCTTGCACAACAAACACTTGAGCCAGACTTGTTTTTACCGAAGCAATACCCAGAGGGGGCACACATGCTCTACCGTCCCTCCCACCACATACATTACCACAAAATAGCCGTGTACTGTGGTGAGGCTCAACAACAGAAGTACCAAAAAAAAGAGTCTTGGAGGAGGAAGGAAAGAAGAAAGGAAGGAGGGAAGCAAAATAGGTAGCAACTATGAATGTGGATATTACAGCTTAGAAAACTGCCTTTACTAGTAGTAATTTTTCTTCTCTTTTGAGAGCAGGTCCGTAAATGCTGTGTGATTCCAGTACTTCTCTCCATCATACAGTCGCTGGGGATGTGGGTCTCAGGGTCTTCTTAAGAAAAGAAAGACCAGTCTATTAAATATATTATTGTTCCACAGTGCCTTAGCAATCACAGTGATAGAGTGGAAAGAATGGTGCCCCAGGCATGAAGCTCCCTGCGGACACCTGATAGGAAGGTTCAACATCACTCCTTCATCAACCAGCTCTCTTCTCTCTTCCACCGAACCTGCCGCAACCGATAGGAAGGGAGCTCTAGTGCAGTACAGCCCACTCACCCCAAGGAACCAGCCAGGACGACTCATAGGTCATAACACACCAGTATAAAAACGGTCTTCTCGGTATTTAGAGTCCAAAGATGAGTCAGCCACAGAGGTGTGAGGCTTGGGAAAGAAAGCAGATGGTAATTTTTTAATTTGGATGGAATTCTGACACAAATGTTGGGGGAATTTTGGGATGAACCCAAAGAGCTGTCCTAATCAGGAAGAAGGCTGTGTAGCTGACAGAAATCTCTCTGAATCTCTGCTAGGTAGAAGAAGTGGCCATGAAGAAGGATACATGCAACAGGAGACAAGGACTCAAATGGCTGTCCCAGGAAGGGTGCGAGGACCAAGTTCAGATCCTGTGGAAATAAAAGGTCTCTGACCAGAATTGTTGTCAAATATTCTTATGCCACAGTCTGTTCTGGACTGACCTTGGGCCTCTTCTGAAACTGAGCTTCTAAAACTTAAAGGCTTCCTTTTATTTTTTCCTCATCAAAGCGCAATCAGATGCAGCAGTATTTCTCCTCCATAGTTGGTTTGTGCCTGGAATTTCTCTTAGACCCATTTCTTATCTTCTGCTGAGCGAAGCTGAATTCCTTTTCATCCTGAGAGACCTCAGCAAAGTAAGGCAAGACTTGACAGTAGTGATTTTCACCGTTTCAGTTTAGTCAGTCAGTCTGGTGTCAGAAACTTCTGCCTGTCTGAAGCGAGAAGCACTAAAACGTTGCCCCGGTTTCTGATCTGCATTTGACCCATCCCTACCTACTGCTTTTCACCTGAGGATGCAAGGGCCGGATGGTTCTCATCAACAAGAAGTGTGTACCTATATCTTGTTCAAGGTGTCATCATAAACATTTGGAAATGTTCAGCTGGATTAAGTTACCTAGCAAAGCAGAGCAAGCTTTTGTTCCGGCATGGATTTACCAGGCCAAGAAAAGTGGGGTCAGTGGGAAAAGTTAACGGTTCCTCCAAAGGGATGGTCCAACTTCTTTTTTAGGGGATGTGTCAGGGTGCCCGGAGAGCTATGGTATTCCTCTTCACACTAAGCAAGTAACGGTGGAAGAGAGAAGAGAGCTGGTTGGTGAAGGAGTGATGTTGAAGCAGCTGGTGCCACCAGGCTCTCCAATAACTACTTGAAAACTTGAAGAGCTCCAGTGTCCAAGGCTCTGCAGGGACCTCGATCTACCTTGAATCATGAAACTGTCAGAGGCACTGTAAACATTTCTAATATGACAACTGGAAGGTACTACAAGGCTATGAAAAGGTTTGTACTGCAAATCATGCAGGCTGTAAGCAAGAAAACTAAGGGAATTTTATGTGTTTTGAGAGAAGTTATGCTGTGGGGTTATGACTGTGGTTCAGCTGACCTCTTCAGATGAGAAGAGGGGAAAGGGGTTGATACACTTGCTCAGAAAGAAAATAAATTATTTTCTCAAATGAGCTGCAAAATATTAGTGTTGCAGTCCCAGAGAGGCTGAACAGCTAAAAGCAAAGTCAAAACATCAAGAAATCCTCTAACTTAGGAAAGAAAGAAAGGAGTACTTAACAGTGGCTTTGAAACACCAAGGGCAGCCATAAAAGTCCTCAAGGTTACCTTCTGATTCTCTGTTTGCATTCCCTGTGTGTTTCTGTGAAATACAGAGCATGAATAGTGGGAGGAAACCAAAGGAAGATCAGATCTCAGTAGGGCAGCA